ACTCAATTTGCACTATTTCTGGCAGTCTGCAAAGGCCCTAAATGAGCTCTGACACAAAAAGCACTCCTCTCACAGCCACTCTAGGAACTGCACCTATTCTTTTTTGGAGCCCAGAAATGCCCAAAGGCCAGATCAAGCCAAGCCTGGGCAACCTCCCCGACTCAAGAAGAGGGTTTCCCTTGCCTGAGACAGATGCTATAAGCCAAATAAGGAGAGTCACACAAGGAACTATGCATGTGTGTGTGTGGATCAACTGCTGCATCATGAAGCACAGTTTCCTAAATGGAGATGTGGCCGTTTACCTAAACTGCAATTCTGTTTTCAATGGCAAACAATCCAGATGCATACCTCCACTCTGGATGCACATGTGGAATTTAGGATTGACTTGCTGTGTACACAGCGAAATGGTTAATATCTGTTAAGACTAGTCAGGAAGTCTTCTGTAACACAAAAACATTTATTTATTTATTTGTTGCTGGAAAAGAGTAATTTATCTTTCAAACCTTTCAAGTGAATCCAAGCACAGAAAAAAAGTATATTTACAGCTCAGATGTCTCCACACACTGTTCAAACATAAACAAAACAGGGAGCCCCAACAACATTAAATGTAATCAAGCTGCAAAACATCAAGAAAATGACACAAATATACACAGTGTTTTGCAAGACAGAAAAGCTGAGGGCTGGGGAAAACAACATCTTTTTGTCCCTTACTAGTACCTGAGCCTCTGGACTCAGGTTTTTGAGCTACTGCTTGCATGGCTGCTATTCAAGTTCTAGATCCAAAATCCACATCCAAAACAAAACAAAACAAATCAGACTCCAAAATGAAACAAAGAACACATGGGACTAAAGTGACACAGATACTAGGGGGAAAAACACCTTTATTAAACATCCAGAGCTTCCCGTCCAGCTTTCAACCAGTTCATCCTCAAGAAAGATTAACTTGTCTCTCCTTCAAATCCTCTTCCTTTTGTCAAAGGAAGACAGATCCTACTTTGCTGAGAGTTCAGCCTGTGGGAGTGGCAAAAAGGGCCAGGAAAGCAGACTTGCAGCGTGAATTACCTTTGCTCTTCATTGTGCTACCATGCCTTTCTTCCTCACCCTTGTAAAGGACCTGGAGGACAACATAATAAACCCTCTCACAGAATTCCCAACCCCTAAATTTAAATCTGCAATGAGTACTTCCTCCGAGCCTCCCAACCTTACCTTCAGGGCTCCACAGCAGAATCTAGGCTGGGACAGGGAGGCAGGTGATCATTTATGGCACAGCGCCTGCTGGGAGCCGCCGTTCCTGACTCAGCAGGCAAGCATCTGGCTGAGAAGGTGCACAAACACACCAGCAACCTACCTGGGTTTCCTCCTTCTAGGGCACAAAGTACAAACCTCACTGCAATTCTTGGTATTTCTGCAATCCTAGCAGGCAAAAATAATGGTCAGTAGCATCACAGCCGCCTCCTCAGACCCCATGAGCAAGTCGTACAGAAAAGAATATTGTCTGGCTCCTATATATATGTTATATATTCAGAAGCACCTTCTCAGCCAAATGCTTGCCTGCGGAGTCAGGAACGGCAGCTCCTAGCAGGCGCTGTGCCATAAATTATCCTATATATATATATATATATATATATATATATATATATATATATCTCCTATACACACACACACACACACGGTTCCTACATTTATGAAGATAGTCAACCTCTTGTTTTAAGTTTCCACACACACTAAGAAGGGTTTTTTCATGTTTCACCAAAAGGATCTGAGTATGTGGGTGCCTTCAATTCACCTGTTGGTTTGTGGCGATCCCTTGAATTTCATAGGGTTTTCTTAAGCAAGGAATCCTCAAAGGTGGTTTTGCCAGTTTCTTCCTCTGAAATGTAGCCTACAGCACCTGGTATTTATTGATAGTTTCCCATCCAGATACTAACAAAGGATACTAAAGAATTCAAAGATATAGCCATGTTAGTCTATAGAATCAGTAGAGATCTTGTAGCACCTTTGAGATCAACTGAAACAAAAAAGTTGGCAGCATGAGCTTTTGTAGACTTCAGTCTACTTCCTCAGATGCATCTGAGGAAAGAGACTAAAGTCTACGAAAGCTCATGCTGCCAGTTGCTTTCTTTCAGTTAGTGTTGAAGGTGCTACAAAATCTCTCTACTAAAGGATACTAAAGTGGTAGTTTTAATACACACATTTTAAGATCCTTATAAAGTGTATCACAAATATGGGTTGGGGGAAAAAAACACTATTTTTTAAAATGGAATTTCCCCCCCCCCTTTAAATTGTTGTGGGTTTTTTTCTTTAAACCATGGGTAGTGGGTTTGTTTTTGTTGGTTTGTTTGTTTTGTATTAGTTTTAATTTTAAATTTTTATTTAAAAATTGAATCCTCCTTATTATATTCATACTGTGAAACATTATTTTATGTATTAGCTTGATCAACTACGGTATGTTTGAATGCTTTCTAACGTTACCAGAGTTATTAGCATTGATATGATTTATATCTTTCAATAAGAGTTTGGGAATTATACTGACGTGCTCAGGGTCAGAAGATGTCCTCCCTTTCCAGGACATGTCCTACATTTCCAGGAGGTATTTCAGAATGTCCTCCATTCTGAGCATGACTAAAAAGCACAAATGTGCATTTAGATGAGTGTTTCTAACTTTTATTTTGTAATGTCCTACATTTTTCTTGAATGTTTTACGGTGCCTTGTCTTCCGTTGCAGTTATGACACTTGGTCACCCTGGACAAGTTGGTCACCTATATACAGGAGTATAGGCCTATACCAATATAGGACTAAATCAGAAAAAAAGCAAGTTGTTTTGGTTGAATATGTGTTAATTGAAGGATTTGTTCCTGAATTACATTTCTCGCACCATAAAATGGTTAAAAATAAGCAAGAGACGCTGGATATTGTCTAATAATGAAAATGTTTCAATTGAGTCATTCCTATTCCAGTAAGAGGGTTTAAAAATAATAATAGCTAGACATATATATAATCAATTTAAAAACTAAGAGTGGGGTTTTTTGTAGTCGTTTCATTTAAACCAAGGTTTAAACCAAGCATCCTTGCCATAAATCAATAAAACTATTGTGTGCTTCCCTTGCCATAGGGCACAATGGCATCTTACTTGCTTTTCTCTGAGGTTTTCGAAGAGCACCATGATGGGGGACTGTTTTCAAGAACTGAATCCATTAAGGAAAATGTCAAATGATCTGGGAAGTGTAGGATCATCCAGGTGCCTGTAAGCTGTACCCTTTTCCTGATGCAACCCTCACAGATACATGACTGGCTTCCTCAAGACTGCAGGGTGGTTCAGTCATCCAAAATGACCACATAAACATTATGTGTTATTTCCAAATAAGGCCAAGTCAAGCAAAATGACCACTTACCAAGATTCACACACATACAGTAAATTATATGTACTACATTGATGCAGAAAGTTCACAAACAATTTTTACTTCCTAATAATTATCCAAAACAAAAATGGTAATTTCTCAATTAATGATACTTGGCTCTATTAAAAGTAAGCCCTTCCTGGCATTATTATTAATACAGATATGCTTCAG